GATTTTTGCAGGGTGTCTGTTTCCGCGAATACACAAGCACGATGTCTCGAGTGCGCAACCCAAATGCGTCCTGTGCCATGTCAGTAGGACGGGTATGCGTCGTCTGTGTGGTTAAGCTAAATGGAAGCCATCAGTCACCCACAGGAGGAAACAACGTGGCGCAGCAGCCAGGATGACTACAATCAACACTTTTGTTTCTATGAAGATGTTTGTTGCTGAGATTTTGGCCTCCTTTTGTGATACAACGGCAAACGTCTTTTTTTGTGTGAAGGATGTTATGAGTCAATAAAGAACGTGGCTTAGCGTAGTCTAGTCACTCCTAGTCAGCTGATGACATAAGTACACAAATATTCCTAAACGAATAAAATATATATATAAATAAAATATAATAAAACATGTTTTACTCAGAGATAAGTTATTGGATGGACGGCCTCAGGCATTCATGGTGCCCAGAGAATGAACCAATAATTGGTTAATGACCAAATAAACCTAAGAGCCAATGATGTGTGCTGTATTTTAGTAGCTTTTAGTGGCTTGTCTGTCTGATGGCTGGTTCGTGTGCATGTGTTTGTCCTTCGGGCCCGTCTGCCCTTCTATATCTGATTTATAAAAAAAAACAGCCCAGACCTTGCACTTTGGTGCTGTGACGTAACTCAGCGCCTCTTTCTGTTCGTTCTGTGATGTAAGCCCTCCGTTGTCTGTGCTGTCTGAGTGTGCGATTGGGTGAGAAAGCCAAAAACTCAATCCGTGGGTACAACGATACCCTTAAACGATAAAGCGGAGCGTTGACCTGGATGCCGTGGATCAGAGCTTTCTCCCCAATTGCACTGTGAGGCAGCAGCCAGTCACCGGGTAGACTTGAAGGAGATCTTTTACCTTGAGCTGATAACAGGGATTTATGCTGTAATTCAAGGCCCGGCCGTATCTTCAAAGCAGCGAGATGAGCCGACAGGTTATGGCACCGCATGCGGCGCAGGAGGAAATTGTTGTCTTCAAAAGGCAGTTTCTTTTTCCCCATCAGTCACTCCGCCTTTAGCACTAGATAACCTAAGACTGATGTGATGAGGAGCTTAGACACATTGTGAGTTGTAATGACTTGGAAACATTTTTGTTGTGGTTGAATTACGTTGTTTTGAATGAAGCCCAGGAGGCGTCAATGAGAAACGATTTAACGGTTCAATATCTAACAAACAAACGGAATCAGAAAGTTTCTGATGTTGCAGATGCGCAGCACCAACCCTGCGGTTCCCCCTCAGGTAACCACGGTTACCTCTGTCAGCCCTGTCGTTCACACTGTCAGCAACATTAGCCTCAAATTGCTGGATTCTATGGAGACACAATAGTTATGCTTCTGATCTCGTATCTAGCACCTATGATGTCATACTATGTGTTTTTTGTCGATTGTGGTCCGAATCCGATCGTCTTGAAGCAAAAGCCCATTTTCTAGAACTGGGATTAAGCCGCGTCTGGATCCATTCGGTTCAATCCAATTTCAACTGGTCCAGTCAGACTCATCTCAGCCCCATAATCTCATTTCACTCTCGTTTCAGTGTTTTATAACTTGACTCAACATGAAGCACTTCAACATACCAATCAAGCATTTTTCTCCAAACCGCCTACTCGTGTGTGTGTGTGTGTGTGTGTGTGTGGGGGGGGGGGGGGTGTATATAAGAGACCTTTAAACAGTTGGATGGTAATGAGAATTCATCTTGCGGATGTTAAAGCTGCCTACCAGCTGAAAGAATTAGCATCAGAATCAGCCACACAGAGGGCACTGATCTGAATTAAAGCTCTCTGAATTATTGATTTCCACCCACTGGGTTCACATCCCGTCTCCATTGCATCGCTTCATGCTGTCAACTCTTTTTCCAGCCTCTGCTCTTTCTCTGCTTTCTCTGCTACGGAACAAAACATGCAGAGTAAAACTGTACCCAGAAACCAATAGAGGTCTAAAGGTCATGTGTGTTTTTATAAATGCAAAGGTTTTGCATGCATATTTGTGTTTACTCTTTGAATGTGTGTATGACGGAGCGGGTTAGGCGGCATGTGTAAATCTCCAAATCGAACCTCTTTTAGTGTTATTAATATTAATTAACGAGTGCTGTCAGGGAGGCGAAGAAACAATTCATTGCTCACATTTATTGTATTAAGTGCTTTGTGATTTATTAATGGCCATGTTTAAGGTTAGGGCAAAGAAAAGGAAGGAAAAGTGAGGGAAGGGCAAACCATAAATGGATTCCTCTGCAAAGACAGAAGTCTATTAAAGTAATTTGTGAGCTCATTGAAATGCGGATTCCCTGGCCTTTTTTTGTCATTTTTATTCATTAGCTGGTAAAACTGTTGGCATATCTCAGTGTAATTTTGATCAGGAGCATTTTACATTTATTACTCTGATTAGATTCCATAGCAAGTCTCGTATTCCTCATTTCATCCTGCCACCACGTTGGATGACCTTAGTCTCGCTCGCCGTCGCTGCTTCCCACCGCGTTCCTCATCTGTATGCGCTGCAGGTCTCGACTGCTTATCTGTTTGCTGCCGGTGTCTGTCGAGCCAAAGGAGTCCTGCCCCCCCAGTTTGATGTCCACTCCTCGTACATTAAGTAGCCTTCTGTCTCTCACACACCACCCGTCTGTCTGTCTGTCGGTGTGTCTCTGCCTCTCCTAACTATCTCTCTCAGCAGCAGTCTCTCCCCCGCCTCCCCCCCCCGCCCGTACCCTCCATAGCACTTGGCATGTTGCTGCATATCTACATTATTACACCTTGAAGAAATGTCTGTGTGTGTGTGCTGCCATGTTTCATTTAATCAAGGCTCCCTGTTGGCACATAGGACAAATTGATCAGTTGGTTTGCCAGCTGTCCTGGCAGATCTCTCCTTCTGTCTCTATTTCTCCAACCCCCTCCCCCCTCGTCCCCCTCGTCCCCTCCCCTCTCACCTTCTCTCCCTTTCTCTCTGTGATGCTCACTCCTCCAAACGTACCTTGGCAATGAAATCGCTAAGATGGGATAAACAAATGATTGGAGTGGTTTCCCTTACAAGCGTCTCTTTTTTTCCCCCCCCTTCTGTTCTCCCGTCGGCAGGTGGCCGCCGGGCCGTTTTGACTGACGCGACCTTTTGGTGGCGCTGGCTGTCGCCGTGGCATCCAACGGTCCCAACGCCGCACACAGAGTGATGGGCAGGGTCCGCAGCCTGCTCCTTTTGTTATCTGAGCAGCACATATTGTCTTGATACACCCCTCTCCTCGGACACGCGTGTCCTCGGCGGGCCGGCTAGACGTGTGTCCACGCTGAATTAAAGCGATAAGGCGGCTACAGCCTGCTTTTAAGAATGATAGGGAGGGAATGTAGAATCCATTTCTGTCTTCATAGATCTATGCATGATTTAGAGGCTATTCACACTTGATGTCCTTGGCGTGTTGAGGGAAGGATAGTGGTGTGTGTGTGTGTGTGTGTGTGTGTGTTTCTTTTATGTGCCCATGCTTGGCTGTGCTTTGAGCTTAAAGCGAAAGGCTTTTCTCTGTGTAATGACAGACATTAGAAAGTCGATTACAAGGTTCTTCCAGCCTCGGATACCCAGACGTACACAGAGCGCACACGCTGCGAGTCAGGAGAGGCTGACGCGGCCTGCTAATCGATGTGTGATGGCAGGCCTGTAGTGCGCGTGCTCTGTAACGGAGACGGGATAACACAGGGCCCCCGAGTTATCGTTATCCTCGCAGCCCGACGAACGTTAATAAGCCAACGGGAGCTTTGCTTGTGTCTTTGCGTGAGTGTAAGACACATCTGGGCTGCCTGCACACGGGCCGGTGCGTTTCCTCCCCACGCGTTGACTCCAGTGTGACACGTCGCCGGTAGTGGGTTATATCTGTCTCCACAAAACCCCACTCGCTGCTTAGCTGATGGTAAAATCACCGACTCACACTGTTCGACATCAGCGGACGATTCAGCTCGGTAGGATGGCTCACCGATATCACTCAGCCGACGGCCTGCGATAAATGTTCCTGATTGCTTCGGAGTGACGGCGTGTGGGATTTGGCGTAACCCAGTGCCGTGGTTTGCAGATTGCGATCAACTGAACACCAGTCCGCTCACTGCTCACTCTCCCAGGACTGAGGTAAAACGCCTCGGTAACGCCGTTTGACTTGATCGGGAGCCGTCCCTGACATTGACGAGGGAGATGGCGGCTAGCGGTAACCACAGTGTGGCGCTCTGTGGCCCTCAGTTATGCATTCAGTGTTGAGATTCACTTGTTTAAAGGGGTGCTGTCACTCATTTGGCGAACAACATAGGTTGTCATCGCTAAGATGAGGAGAGAAACGTCCAATGCAAAGCAGAGCAGTTTGTGCGGCGTATTCAGAGAAGAGCGAGCACACCAGAGCTGTTTAGAATGCAGTCTCAGAAGAGAGGAGGCCAGAGCGTCGGCTGCCTGATTTCACACCCATTATCACCTGCTACATTGGCGCGGCACGTGGAAAATGAAACTGTGTAGAAGGCGGGTGTAAAATAACCGTGTGGCACATTCTTTGATGGGCTTCTGTTTCTCTGTGTGCTGCACACATGAGGTCACGAGTGCGTATCTGCCCCGCCCACGTTGTCACGGTTCACAGCCCCCCCCTCTGCACGTGGATTAGTTGATGCTTTACAAAACTGGCGAAACGAATTAGTCGTGCCTGCATATTGTGTTTTTCAGATGACTTAACAGCCAAAATATCCACTTGTTTTTCCCCCTTAATCATACGTCCTCCTGGACTTGCTTTCCCTCCATTCATTCTTAATTTTCTCTCTCAAGAATTGAAAGTGAGATTTCTTTGCTTGGGCTTTGAAGTGCCGCCGTGTCCGATGTTGTGCTGCAGCTTTTGTGCCAAGAAATGAAAATGCAAGTTATATAAAAAAATGTCTTGGGTTTGGAATATCTATGGAAGCACCGAGGGACGGGTGGGAAAAAATATCTTGTGATCCTGTAGATATCTAATGTTTTCTGTTTCTGTGTGTTCTTTTACCAGCGTGTCCCCGGGGGTCCTACAAGATGTCCTCCAGGCAGCAGGAGTGTTTTCCCTGTCCTGCCAATAGTGTATCAGAGGAGGAAGGATCTGTGGTGTGTGTGTGTGAGGAGGACCACTTCAGAACCCCCCTGGACACACCCTCGGCCCCGTGCACAAGTAAGAAGATTATGTGTTTGTGTGTGGCTGCATCACTCACACACTCAATGACAAATTTTTGCATTAAGCGAGAAATTTCATGTCTGTGAGCCAATCGTTATCGCGCCCACCCGTTCTGCCTCTCGTTTATCTGCCCTTGTCCTTAAAGACCACTTTAACCTCTTCCTTCAATCCGAATCCTTTTATACCCCCCCCTTTTTTTCCCATTCCGTCGCCTCTTCGTCTGACCTGCACCCACTTTCTGTGTCCTCTGTCTCGCCATCTATCCTCATTATTTGACCTCTCCGACTCCCCCTCATTACCTCATTTCCATGTCTCCTCTCACCCAACCCTCACCTCTCCTTCTCCTTATATCCTCGTCTCTAATATTGCAACCAGTTCCAGTCCAAAAATCCATCCAGAAACCCGCCGGGTGTCGTCTTTCTTCGTCCCGGTATGAAACCAGAGACAAGATACGCGCCTTGTGCTGATCTATTGATGATGAAGTTGTGAGTTGGTCAAAGAGGTTTTTTTGTTTGTTTTTTCCAGCGACAAGCTCAAAGGATTTCCTTCCTCTCATTTTCCCTTAATTGCATCAGCAAACACAGAACATTTGCTGGCTCGTTTAATACGAGAGTTAAAGAGATTTATACCATTTAATTATTCTCAGGTTTTGCATATTTTAAGGGTGTCAGATTCTTCCCGTTCTAGTTTTACAATAGAGGAAACATCCGCATGATCATACATGTTATTTTATGTTTTTAGGTGGAACCCCAACCCCCCCCTCCTCCTGACCTGTGCCCACACATTAAGTGTCCATTGCAGCTATCTGTCTCCTAGCCTCGATCCCTATTAGCACCCTCCCATCCTTCACCTCCTCCTACCATCTCTCCTAACATTCAGTCCACGTTAGGTATTTGTCCAAAACATTAAGGACCCATTTTCAGCTATACATCCATTACCTTCCCTCCACCAGACCACCCTGTCTTCTTCCAACCCCCTTCACTCTTCCTTCTTGACCCTTGACCACGCTTTCCTCTCCCCTCTCTCTCGGCTCTGCCGTCACTACTTGGCAGCTCATCACTCTTCGTACCGCCTCTTCCCATTTCCCTCCCTCTTCAGTCTTTTTGTTTGCGCCCGTTATCAACCCATTCATCCTTCTGTCAATCGGAAACCTCGTCCCTCTGTCTTCAAGCGGAAAACTCTGCGATCTCATCCCCAGCCTCTTACCCTACCCCCCCACACCTTCTCATACCGAATGCTATTCTTCGCCAATAAAGATGCACTACAAGGCCGATAAGACAAAGAGCATGCAGGGTACAGCCCTATTGATTCCTGCATGCAGAGCAACCTATTGATATGGCTTGGTAATTAGATGGAGGAATAATGGGCTCCACGGCCTGTGAGCACTCACGGTAGTATTCGTGGGGGTCACAAGGTCTGTGCAGGTGACTTTGTGTACATTCACGCTCATATGTGTGTGTGGTCATACTGTCTTTTATAGTATCTGCAATGCAGGTGGTGTAATTACTGTATTGATCGCCAAGCTCTCTGATCCCATTGTGATAACATTTAGCGCAGCCTAATGACCACATTAATTACACTATTGATTCGCTAATTATGATCATCCCCAGATTTGGCTAATCCACTGCCACTGGTGAGCATGAAAAAAGGGAGGGAGACCGAGCTTGATGAGTCTAGAATAGAAAGAAAAAGGGGGGACTATGACTAAGTTTAATATGCATATGACTATCTGCAATTAATGACCGGTGCAATTTCATTATTTTCCTTTTACCATAAATGCCCTTGAAGCACCTAAATTTAGCTCTGGCTCAGAGATCCATGGATGCAGACTCTTCTTAGGCTTTTGTGTCAATATTCTAAATACAACATCAAGAGAAAGTTCTAATTTGATATGATTCAGTTTGTTGGAGCAGCAGTGGAGGGGGAGACAAAGGGTCATTTGAATGGACATGTGAACTCTGAAGACAGAGACAGATGGAGAGTGGAGGAGGGCAGGATACGGGAAAGAGAGAGGCTAAATAGTTTGGCCGGTCAGGTTTAAATAACTGCGACATGACAAAGTTGGTAGAGAGAAACTACAAGAGAAAGAGGGACCACGGGGCCGAGGAGGCACAAACGGCCCAGATGTGTCTCTATTTAATCTGCATGTACACACGCTGAATGCTCTCTGGGCTTCTGAAACTCTCCACGTGTCTGAGAGCAGGACGCATCTGCAGCGTGGGACGAGGTTGACAGCACGCACACCTTCACTTATTCATTTCACGGCACAGGGACACGTAGAAAATGCATGACCTTTTAATGGAACTTCATTCAGCATGCATGTGCAAAGACCTGCAGGAGAAGGCAGAGGTCAGTCAGGGCACTGACTAAGTGATGAGATACAGCCCTCTAAGCACATATCACATTTGTTGGATGACTATTGGTTTGAAACTACACAAAGCCCTGTGTATCAAACAGTGATGTACCCATATATGTTGTAATCACACACACGGCCTCTTTAGTGAGCAGCTCAGACTGTTGTGTTATGATCCGTGGTCACTCACCTTTGTTTACGGATCGAAGGGGAGGATTTGTTCCATGCAGCACTGTTGACATCTGCACAAAATGGACACATTTTTTCTCACTGCCCACGCACGCACATGTCCAAACAAAAGGTACTCTACGTTATTACAACACAAAGCTACTGCTTTTAGTCCTCTCATTCGCAGGTGTTTTCCGGCATCATCAGTAATCACTCCTCCAGCCCAATCCAGTCTTTTTTTTTATTTATTTTTTTTACTTCCATCGCGAAACGAAACATACTGCAACAATACTCAGTTGTATTCCAGCTACAACTCCACATTTTCAATTGCCCACACCCTCTAGGATCAAATTCTTTTTTTAAACCAATTGTGTCTCATCACCTTATCGGGGATGGAACAGAGTCATTGTAGCATGATGTGCACACTGAGCAATCACACTGTAATACCCAATGCACAGTGCGTTGGTCCTTACAAGATACATTATGCTTCAGCAACATGATGTTTGAGTGGCCTATTGAAACCACGCAGGTTACTCTGCATGGCTCGACTCAGTGCATAAACAAACCTGCGGCCACGATGGGTAAATAACGGCGGGTTTGAGGAGTGATCCTGATAAGTAGCGTTTTATCTCCGCCTCAAAGTGACCGACATGGTCATTATCCACCTCTATGCCTGTGGAAAAAACTGAAAATAGCCAACTGAGTTGAGTTAAACCTCCCAGTGCCAATACTTCATATGCTACAGTTAAATTTGGTATTGCTTTTATTTATCCTGGCAAGTTTTATGGGAGCCGCTTTTTACAGAAAAGCACAGCTTTACACCAATAGTTACTAATAAGAATGATGATGAAGATGATAGTAAGCGAGTGTCCAGTTTGGGTGTGAAGAATGCTGCATGGCATGTGGTGATGACATCACGTGACAAATTAAAATCCTTTTCAATTGCTGCATTTCAGTTGCAGTTTCTAGGATGCTTTTGATTAACAGCCTTTTCTTTTTAATCTGAAACTAATTAATGGAAACCGAAACGCTCTTGCTCTCGTCTCTCCAGGGCCTCCCTCCCCGCCCAGAGAACTGCTCTACACCTTGAAACAGTCCACGCTGATCTTGGAGTGGGCGGCGCCGTCGGACGCGGGGGGCCGGGTGGACCTGACCTACAGCGTGGGCTGCCGGAGGTGCGTGGGCCGGCAGTGCGAGCCGTGCGGGGCGAGCGTCGGCTTCGTGCCGCAGCAGGTCGGCCTGACGGAGAGAACGGTGACCGTGGTCAATCTCCTCCCCAACACCAACTACACGTTCTCCGTGGAGGCCTTGAACAGCGTGTCGGAGCTGCTGCCCAGCAAGAGGTTCTACACGCAGGTCAACGTGTCCACAAGTCTGCCGGGTGAGTCCCAGTTTAGGCCTTTGAGGATAACTGCACATGACGGCAGGCGCGGGGAAAAGGGGGCATTTTGCTCATTTCACAGTAAAACTGCAGAGTCAGGAAGCAAAAACGAGTTCACGCCGCATTTTCCAAAATGTAGCAAGAGGACTCAAATGGCACATAGCGGCCTGCTGCGCAGGCTGAGCTGAGAATGAATTTTAAATCAGCTTGCACTGCGTGCGTTACTCAATTTGAATATCTTGTAGTAGGCCACTTTTATGGGGGGTCCACAAGGATGCATTATTTGTGTTGTTTAGCTACTTTGCAAGTGGGAAGGTGTTTTGTGTATATTTTGTGATCCCTTACAGGGCAGAAAAAAAAGACTACAAAAGGCTCTTTTCTATAGAACTTTCTTGTAACATTTCTCACTCAAGGATACACATGCAGGCGCCGGCTAAATCTCACAAATAGATGAATGCGCACTCTCAGTGACCCTTGGATATGCTGCTACGCCATGTTAGATGTCATCACGCATTCGTCACTACGCGGCTGTTCACACACGCACACAGAGGCGTTCACCAATGCAAATGTGCATCCAGCAGACTGGCTATTGGTTTGTGCGTATGCACGCACACTCCCTCCCCCACAGTGTGCCTGCCATTGCATACGGAGCAAAATGTGTCGCGCGGTGGAGGTGATCTCATTTTCATCAGCAGAAGTCTTCAGCAGACCATTAGCCGGAGGCTTGAAAAGCACTTTCCCAAGTAGCCCTGTCAACCAGCTCTGCAACAGCACTATTTGAAGGAGCTCAAGTGTGAAAAGACCAAACACACACACACACACACACACACAGAAAGATTTACAAGAACGTATTCCGGGTTTGAAACGCTGACAAACACTCTCTACTACCCAAATGCTCACCAACAAGCTCATTTCGTCATACCTAATGTGAATTTGTATTTTTCTAAAAGCTTTATTTACTGCTATCTTTTGCTGAAATGAATAGCATGATGAGGCATGCCGGGGGGGCGGGGGGGCACGGAGGGGCCGAAAGGTGCAGCATTTGGAAGCAGATGATGGAAAAACAATGAGAATGTGAGGACGGCGGTGTTGGTTATCACCGCTGATTGGAAATGAGCTTAGAAGAAATGAGCTTCATAATGAAGGAGAGCGGTTCGTCATATTTGAGTGCTGAGGTGGCAGCAGCGCTCAGTGTGGGTCTTGTGTGCTACGAGACACTCGCTCTATTACTATAAGGAAGTGTAAAAACATAAAGGTTTTTCATACGTGGACGTGGAGGTTCATGATTGCGGTTGGGCCTCACTGGGGCGGCTGCAAAGATGGCAGCTTTAGGGAGATTGATGTTGTGCGTATTTGTAGTGGATGTGTGCTTGTCAGTGGCCCAGATTCTCTTGTTAGCCAACTGTAAGTGTTGCGTAAGAGTAACATCTGGACATCAGGACCACATAGAGCGAGCGAGACAGCGTTATGTGCAAGCACACAATCTCTGTGCTGCACTACAGAGTTGAGCCAGACCAATATTTTAGATTTTTGCCCAGTGTTTGATAAATAGTCCCAGACTCGATGCATACCAAGTTTGTATTTGTGTAATCAAGATGCCGAGCTTAAAGAATTGTCTTTTCAGCTTTGTACTGGTCAACGTCCCAAGTTTTTCGTTGCGTACAGTTGGCAACATCGCCGCACATGAGAAACGGGCTTAACAGAGACAACCTGTTATTCTATTCAATTTATTTGTGCAGCCCAAAATCATTCCTCCAAGGAAAATCTGTGATTTTGGCTTAGAGAGCTTCACATGGTAACCCCTGCCAGGTTGCTTGCATTCCACTTACGGTAATTTAAATATTGCTGCATTGAGCAATATTTGAGATCAAATACAGGAGCTGTTTGCAGGTTTTCTGGTTTTGAAAAATCATACGTGGATCAGAAACCAAGTTTGTTGAGTGAACAGCTGTGAACAGCTGTTCAGTTGGCCGGCGTTAATGGATGAATGTGTGTACTCCAAAAATAAATACCGTGATATACCGTGAAACCGCCTGGGTCTTACAACATACGGTGATGTGAAATACCTGTCATACCTAATGTGAATTTTAGGCACATGCCGCCCAGCCCTATAATGTACGACCGACGCTGACACGGCTCAAAACATCCACCGCGGCCGTCTCCAGGTCCCCGAGGGGATTTAGGTGGCGAAAAAGCCTCCGAGGCCCAAGGTTAGGGACACTATAATGAGAAAAAGGACAAACCTGCCAGTGATTATTTTCCTGTCCCCACAGTTCTCTCAGCCTGTTATCTCCCCTCCTCTCTGTCCGCCTGTGTAGTCAGCACTTGATTTGTGGTTATCGCGGGGTATTAGGCTGTGAGTTGTCCTGCTAACCGTGTCATCCAGAGGGATTGGACAAGGGGTTATGGGAGTGTGTTTGCCGGCGTTTCAGAAGACGCTCTGTGTCAGGGAGGGTTTACTCATTGACGTGTGGTGTTTAATGTTGCCAATGTGTGAGAGACAGACAGTGAGGGAGACGGGTGCTTTACATTATGTCTCGTCTTACGCGTTTCACCATTGAACAAGGGGGGGGGGGGGGGCGCGCGTCTGGTTTTCTTTTGGTTTTCTTTCTACATTTGTCCACTGCTCACTGCCTGTGAGCCGACTGTAGTCCACCCAGTCACAGGAAGTACTGTGCATCCAAAAACAATAAATAAAAGCATTCCTTGGACAGAGCTCACCAGGGGTGTAACGATTCATTTTAACGATGATTCGATTCATGGACGATCTGGGTTATTTTAGAACGATTCGATTCAGTGACTTGAAATCGATTCAGTAACTTTACTGGACAGTGCAGGCAAAGTTTCTGAGATCCCTGTTGTTTCTTGTAAGGAAATCAGGTTTAAATTAATTATGGATATTATAAACAAGCAAACAACAATTGATGGCAAATCTATTAGTGCCATTTTCAATGTAAGCATTACACAATAATCACACAATGTTTGGATCAATTCACAGAACCCCGGATTTTCAACCACATTGTAGGGTTGCAAGTCTTTACAGATAAATTTGTTACTGTGATGCTAAGTTTGGTGCTGGCGAGGCCTGAGGTGTCTGCAGAGCTGGAGTTACCTGCTGCTGCTGCAGCGGTGACGCTGCTAGAGGTCCTGACTGTCGCCGTTGTCTAATCCCACGCCGCCTTAGTAGATGGCCGGAAAGATTTGTTGTGTTTCCGTGTTTTTTATTTGGCTTCTACATATTCTACAAACCGCGACCGACTTATTTAGAACACCTCCGTGTTTGCAAAAGCCAAAATGTTTCCACTCGCTGGATCGATAAGTTGGTTTGTAAATGTCTCGCTCGCAGTCGTCTCCTCCACGCTGTGTTTTGTTGTTGTTCCGAGTTTCGCGCGGCTGCCGCTGCGTCCTGATGACGTCACAGACAGGCAGACTGAATCGAGTAACGTTTAACGTGTCTAAAGTGCTAAAAAACAAACAAACAAACACACATCCATACAGTTGTTGTGCTTAAATCCAATGTGCAGTTTCCAAGTATCGATACAATCGATTATGTACCATTTCAATCGATTTGTAATCGATATATGTCGTCCGGAATGCCGATTTGCGGAGCACAGATCGATTCAGTTGGATCGCAGGAATATAAATCAGTGGATGAATCGTTACACCCCTAGAGCTCAGGCCTGTGACCAAAGAGGTAAGTGCGGACTGCGCGCCGAGTCTTTACGCCATCAGAACTCACTGACCTTTATGAATACTGCAGCAGGAATGTCTCTTTCGCTTTCTCGCTCGCCGCCTCATCATCTCAATGACCTTTTCTCCCCCCCCCTATGTGTTCTGATCTCTCCTTTTTTTATATTCTATTTCCTTCCTCATTTCCCCCACCTCATTCTTTCCTGCTAAACACACTATTCTTAGATGCTAATTTCTTTCCCTCCTCCTTCCTGCCACTTCATTCCAAAGCACTCCTTCCACCATCTCCGCCGCCTGTCTGCATATTACCACAGCAACTGAAGTCCTCGTCCTCTCTGCTCTCTCCTCCCTTCCGCTGCCCCCCCCCCATCTCCCCTTACTGTACCGTATTTGTTTTTCTGCCTGTGCTAAGCTTGTTAGCAGCGGGTGGCACGGTTTAGCCGGCAGCTGAGGGCCAAGAAAGCCCGAGGATTTAAGGGCGCAGCCTGGGTTGGAAGCCAAGGTGCAAACGGGTGCTATATTAAGGCCAAAAAAGAGAGCACACACACAGACACACACAGGGGGTCCATTTACATCCATGCAGATGCTATGAGATTTTCCTTTGTTAGTTGAGGAACAAAACCATTTTAAATATAGTGACATTAAAACCCTCCATTTGAAGCCAAATATAAATTGAATTCTTCTCTTCTCCGAAAGCTTACACATGCACACAGGGGAGCAGTGGCTTTCTCTCAGACAGATGGGGTTTTATCAGGACTCTCCAGGCCACCGAGGGGAAGGGGGTGTGTTGCATGGTTTGTCAAGGATGGGTGGATGGATAAAAGGCAGCGAGCGGGGTTGTGGGTAGAAACATGACTGGAGATGCGTGAGGAGACGGGGCATGGCCTCGGTAAATGAGGGATCAGGTTTTGCTCCCGGGCTCATGGCGCCCCTTATCCAGCTGTGGATTAGGGATGCATGTGTGAGTCTCTGCTCTTTCGTGCACCAGGCTATAGGTGCAGGAGGGCATTTTAATGCGCATGCTTAACCCTGCTTGCATGCAGAACGCTCTGTGCATTGCTTCATGCTTGATTTGTGTATGGGCAAGAAAGGATGAGATTATGGCATATTGCCTGTGGATGGTTCAGTGTTTGTGTCCTGATGTGTGTGTGAGTGTGTGTGTTTGTGTGTAAGATCAGAACACACTCAGGTTGAATGTCCTGGCCCCCAGTGGTACATCCAAAGCGCTTTAGCTGAGGCAGGGAAGAAGAGAGGGATGTGGGGCGGCTGTAGCGGTGGGGTGGAGGTGCGGGTCAGGGAGGGAGGAAGGA